TTGGGACCTTAGGCTTGCTCGCCTCTTGTTTTCCCAGCCTGTCTTCTGGGGGAGGGGCCTGCCGTGCTGTTACTCAGGCAACCCTGTTTGGGCGGAGTTGCCCTGCCCCCCTGTGGCGGGGGATGGGATCAGCGGGAATCAGTTTTGGGGGCTTTTGTTCTCTGGCGGCTTTCCCTGCTGGCTTTCCGCATCTCTTCCGCGAGTCAGAGCAGAAGAGAACGTTTCCAACCCTCTGCCTCAGAGCAGAGAGACCACAGTCCGTTCTTCAGTGAGCTCTCCAGGCCACACCGTCTCCGTTTCTGTCCGTGCTGCTATAAACTGCAGCGGCCTGGTTTGCGCCCCTCTGCAGCGCCCCCAGTCCTGCCCCCAGGTCGGAGCATGTCTCTGCTCTTTGTGCTTCTAAAACCGCCAGCCTCCCCATTTCGCCCCCGCCACCCCGCCTCTCCGGGTTTCCGCCATGGGGGCTGCCCTAAAGTCCTTTCCCCGCTGCTACAGGTCTGCGAGTCTGTGCCCTGTCCCCAGGGAGCGAGGCCGTCGCTCACTGGCGGTGTAGGATCCCCATGGCCAGGCACCCTCCTGCTGCCATTTATCCTCTGATATCTGCCCGCGGAATCAAGGCTCCCCACTTCGTACCTGGAAACCAACCGCCTGCAATATTGTTTGTAGAGATCCAGATCTTCTTACATCTCAGGCTGGTTTCGTGGGTGCTCAGAGTGGTCTGGTAGATATCCAGCTCAATTCCGGGAACCAGTTGAAATAGGGTGCCCTACTCCTCCACCATCTTTTCGCTTTCCTCCTTTCTATGTCTCGTGTAAGAAATATTTTCTCCTATGGTTTCTTCTGGAAGCTTTATATCGTTACTTTTTTACAGTTTAAGCTTATGATCCATTTTGAGTTAATTATTGTGTATGGCTAAGGGGTCAGGGCTTATTTAATTTTTTTCCATATGAACAACAAGTTGTTAGAGCACTATTTTTCTTTTAAAGATTTTATTTGAAAGAGAGCATGAGCAGGGGGAGGGGCAAATGGAGAGGGAGAAATAGACTCCCTGCTCAGCAGGGAGCCCAACACAGGGCTCAATCCCAGGACCTTGAGATCATGACCTGAGACCGAATGAGCCACCCAGGAACCCCTGTTATAGCACTATCTATTGAAATGACTATATTTTCCCTATTGAGTTGTTTTGATGCCTTTGTCAAAATTATTTAACCCTATATACATGGACCTATTTCTGAACTCTGTTTCAGTGATCTATTCATGTGTCTACACTACACTGTCTTGACCAACATTGGTAGTATGGTAAGATTTGACATCAGATAATGTATGTCCTTCCATTTTGTTCTTTGGGTCTCTTATTTTCAATGTGAACATCTTGCATGTCTTTCATTAATATTTCCATAAATATTTTATGACTTGGGTGCAATTATGTTTTATTAAAATTAAAATTTGTTGCTAGCTTTGATGTAGTTTCAAAAATGGCTGCGTTTCCAATCCTTATGTTCTTGCAGAATCTAGCAAGAGCTAGAGTCTATTTCCTGTCCTCTTGAACTGACTGGGCCTTTGTGACTGCCATAACAGGTTGTGGTGGGAGTAATACTGCATGATTCCTGAGCCTAGGTTAGAAAAAGTGACAGAGCCTCCACCCGGCTCTGTCCCCTGAACTCTTGGAAGCCAGCCACCATGCTGTGAGGAAGCCCAGGCTACCTGGAGAGGACACGATGAAGTATACCAGATGACAGCCCCAGCTAAGATTCCAGCTGCAGCCAGCATCACATGCTAGACACGAGTGCTAATGAGTAATTGAGGGGCAGGGGTCTGGGGTACCTGCCCCTTTGGTCATTAGGGAGATAGATATTGACTGTTCTGAATATTTCCTCTTCTACGTCCAATGTGGGACACTGTGTAAAATGTGTAAAAATGAGAGGAATTTGGAGTCGTCAGAATGCTGCATGAGACCGCAGAGAATAAAGTTTTCTATGAAATCATTTTTCTCCCTGGAGTCTTTGCCCAGTACTATCAGGGTTACCTTTTAGCCTGTTTGTAAATAACAGGGAAAGAGGACCTGGGGACCAATGGAAAGGAAATGGGTTTGGGATTAGTAGTGGCTTCCACTCTGTCTATATTATTCCCTAAACTGGGGAGCAGGTACACAGATGAATGCCATATGCATATGTATACCTTTTTATATGGTGTGTATATGCCATTTCCTTTTTAAAAATATCTATGTATAGACATATATGTACACATATAAGAGATACACATATATGTATACATGCATGAATATTTTTTCATGTATAAACATTTTAAAAGGAAATGTGGTTTTAGTTTGAAGGGACTTAAGAAATGACTCAAAGTCTTCATTTGTTTGAAAGAACTTCTTGAGAAGGATGCAAACTGGTTGTTCTCTGGAACCATGAAGATTAAATAAGAATGGGCTTAAGTTAAAATGGAATTTAAGATGGTCATAGGGAAGAACTGCTTGAAAACCCTAGTTCCTTAGCATTGAAGTGTGCTGCTGAGAGAAGTGCAGCTTTCCTTCCTTGGAAATCTTAGGGGAAAACATGGTCAGCCTTTCTGCAGTCACACCATGAGGGGGTGGGTTCTCTCTCTGGGAGACTGGGTCTGTCTTGGCTGATCTCACTGCTTAGGGAGGGGCCACACAGAATAGAGACAATGGAGATAGCTGGCTTTCAGGGAAAGAAAACTCTAATCCCCCCTTTTTTTTCTTCTACATCATCCCTTAGGACAAAAAGGGCTACTCTGACTTAGCTCAGTGATATTTATCAATCAGTGCTAGGGGCTTGGTGCATCCTGCTCGGCCTGTCTTTTGAGGGATATTTTCTTCTGCAGGCTGCTTCTGTCACCTGACTTGTGAGTGCCTGGGGTGGTGACTCTAGAGAATTGAGACAAATGCTCTTTCTTGAGAAGTTCTTGAGTACTATAGGGTAGAGACAAAATAGGGTAGGGTAGGGTAGAGACAAAATACATTTCTCTGACTATCCCTGTTGCTCTGATTTTGCATTGGCCCTTCTTTATACAGGCTTCTGGGGTCTTCTTTGGTTCTAGCCTAGGTTGCCTCTGGCAAGGGTGAAAGCATTTCTCTGAGAGGTCAAGCACAGGTTATTGAATGATCCATATTGACATTTGGATTCCAAGACTAATAGTAAATAATGGTCATCAGCTAGCTTTTATCCTCTGTGCATGTGTTTCTTTAGAAGACCTCAAAGACAGGATTTAGGTCTAGATTCTGTGCTCAAAGGCCATACCTAACTAACTCCCCAGGAGAGATACCAGCCAGTCAGATCAGGGAAATTAGCCATGGCAGTCAATGAGAAAATGCAAGTTTAAGTGAGTCACCCATCTATGGCTCCTTGCACATCTTCAAAGTGGATCAACTGAACCTCAACACTGTACCAAGTTGTTAGAACAGTTTTGGTTATCAGAAGATGACTACAGAAACAGAAGTATCCCCTACTCCCCGCCCATTTCATGATAAGGAAGCACAAAATCAGGGTAATAACGCACTGGGTCAGTCTACGGTGAGCAAGGCAATGTTCTATATTTAACATACTCAGCTTCTTAAAAATTAAAAATAACGTCTATCTACTCTTTCTTTTCCCATCTGGTTATGGTGGAAACATTTTTCATCTTAAAATTTCGGGTTGAAAAAAATCCTATTTTTCACTCAAGTCCTTTTCAGTTCTGCTTAGCCTTGTCATTGATAGAAAATTGAATCATTAGTGACAAAGTTTTTGACAAACTCACTGCTAGGATGAAATGGCTTTAAGTTCACCCTCAGCAGCTATGAAGACCCACTGAGAAAACATCTCCCACCCTGAAGCTCAGATCAACAATTTTGAAAATTTCCTTTTTCCTCAACATCCTGCTGAAGACTCATTTCTTATCAGAAACACTTTTTTTTTTTTTTTTGAGGGCCCAGAAGAAACAGGCAGGGAATCCTACTTGAAGCTAAAGTTGCCAGTCTACTGTCCATCCCTTCCGCATTTTTTCTAAGAAAATCTGGAGCAAAGACTAGCCAGTAGGAGCTTGAGAGGCTGCATGGTGTTTCCTCATGGGGCATCAATTCTTCCTGCTGAACTCTGTTCTTTTCGTCAGCCTCTGATATTTATGCTAAATTTAGTGAAATGATCACATCAATAAATGTAAGGTCAGACTCTACTTGAATCATTTTTCTCTTTTCATTCTGAGGTCAGAATTTCATCAGATATTAAATAGATTCAGCTTCCCCCCCCCCCTTTGTGGAACTGTGCCCAGAAAGACCAAGCGCAGTTTAAACACTGATGAGTAAAAACAATAAAAAAATGGATCAAGTGACCTTGGACAAGTCACCTCACCTCTCATTGATTTTGTTTCCTACGGAAGAAGGTGTGTGTGTGTGTGTGTGTGTGTGTGTCGCGAGCTAAGTATTCCTAGGGGCTTCTTACAGTTTTAACATGCCACTAATTAGAATTCTAGGCGGGCTGGGGGTTAGGAGTCTGGATTTCTTTTCGTTCCAGGCCCTACACCTTAGAAATACCTGTTCCTTGAAGAACCGATACAGATCCCACCAAAATAGACACAGAACAGAAACCGAGAAAAGAAAGGCAAGTTTCTGAACGGTTTTCACGGGACACTTGCACTGCATGACAAGTGACAGGTAAAATAGGTAGCAGACTGGCACAGACGGAAAAGGGTACCCCAAGGCGCACCCGTCTCCTAGGAAAGCCCCCTAGAGCACCGATCCATGCCCCCTCCCCCTCCCCGCCTTCTCCGCCACCTAAAAGCCCCCAGTCCCGCTTAACGGTCCAAATTCTTCCCAGCCGCGGCCGCAGCCCGCTCCTCCTCCCGCTCGGCTCCCCGCCGGAGGGCCGGCCCCCTCCCCCGCCGCCGCCACCCGGCCAGCGGGGCCCGCAGCGCTGGCGTTCGCGGGCGCTGCCGCATTGGCCGGCGGCTGCGGCACGGACGGCGCAGGCTCCCCGGGCGGCGGCCGCGGCACAGGCGCCGGCGCTCACGGCGGCCCCGCAGTCCGGTCCAGGAGCGCGCCCACCCATGGCCCTCGGGCCGTCGCCCCTGCGCCCAGCCCTGCGCGCAGCCAACGCCGCTCGCCCGGGGGCCGCCTAGCCCCCAACTGGAGCGCGATGCCGAACGCCTCCGGCCTGGACAGAGCTCTTAAGATGTCCCTGCCCCGAAGGTCGAGGATCCGCTCGTCCGTTGGTGAGAGGGGAGGGGCGCCCGGCGGGGAGGGTCGGCGGGGCGAGGGCGCGGGCGCGCGGAGGGGAGCCACCGCCCCGCCCCGCCCTCCGTCCATCTCCCTCCGCGGGGGCCTGTCGGTGGCCACAGGTCTCCGCGGCTCCGCAGCCGCCCGCACCTGAGGGGCGGGGCGGCCCAGCACCTGCGCCGCCGGGAGGGGGCGGGGGCGTCGGAGACCCCAGTCCGCCCGCCGGGCCGGGGTGCGTGTGCGCGCGCTCGGTGTGTGTGCGTGTGCGTGCGAGCCGCGGCGCGCATGCCCGGCCGCCCCCACGCGGGGGTGCCCCGGCCTCCGCTGGGTGGGCTCCGAGACCGTCTGGCGTGTGCCCTGGCTCCGCGCGGTGTTTGCTGCAGAGCCCTAGGGAGCCAAAGGGTCACAGGAACGTTTGTCGCTAGCTGGGCCCGCGGGCCTTGCGACCGCACGCACAGCCACCGCACACCCCACACTGCACTCAAGCGCCCGCGCGTAGGGACCCCAAACCTCTAAAGCCAAACACCCCCGTGCTTCAGACGCAGCTCCGCGGCCCCTCACGTCTAGACACTTGCATTTTGTTTCGTACAGAAATATTTAGAAACCCAAATCATGTTAAGCTGGATGTTCTGTGATTATGATCCACGACGGGTTACCTAGACCCTTAGATAATGAAACATGGAAAGGGAACTTGAGGAATGATTCGCTTCCCATTTCGGAACTGCCTGCAAGTTTGTAGATCGATCTTCGATGGGAGGAAGGGACACGGTTTGCAGTTTGGGGATGGGGCACTTGTAATGTTTGTGAGGTTTCTGTTGTTTTGATATAATAGGCATATGAAAATAAACGACTTTCTATTTCTGTAGTTGAGTCATGTGACATGGAAAGAGTTATCAGGTCATTTCAACGACCAGTGTTTCCGAGTAACGTCAGGGCACCTTCAGATCCACCCCAGGAGAATCCCAGTGTGAAAGGATCGCGGGACTGAGGGCTGAGGCTACCCTGTGGGGAGTGCGGGCAGAAGCAGGGAGACCAACCGAGAGGGGACAGCTCTAATCCAGGTGCCAGATGGTACCGGTGGCAATGCTAGGGTGGACGGGGGGGGGGGGGGGCGGGAGTGGGCATGTCCTCCATATGTTTTGAAGGTAGACCCAACAGCATTTGTTCATGATTTGGATGTGAGGTTTCAGTAAAAGGAGAATCAGAGCGGAGGGTGGGGGGGCGGCTAGGAGGAAAAAGAAAGTCGAAGAACGTGTCGCTCACCGAGATGGGGAAAACTGCAGAAAGACCAGGGCTCTCATTTGGGGGGGACGGGGGGGGCAGGAATTTGGTTTTGAAGTGCCTACGAGAGAGCCCAGTAGAGATGTTTACATCTCTGAGCCTGGAGTTCAGGGGAGTGGTCTAGAGCAGAGATATAAATTCAAGAGTCCTCAGCTTGGTGGCTCTGTGACAGAGCGGTTAATAATTTTTGAATGAGGGGCCTGCATTTTCATTTTGCAGTGGGACCTGCCAATTATGTAACCAGTGTGTATAGACGTGGCCCAGAAGAGAAAGGTTCTTGGACAGAGGCCTGGGTACTGGACATTTCAAGGTCAGGGAGGTTAAGGCGACAGCCCCGGGGCTGAGAGAATGGCCAGCGAGGTCGGAGGAAAAGCCCAGAGCAGTGTCCTGAAGCTCAGTGAGCCCACTGTTCAGAAAGCAAGGGGGCTTATCTGTGCCCAGTGCTGCGGGGAGCTCGGGAACAGCGAGACCTGAGAAGAGTCCCTCATGGGAGGGTGCAGGTGGCCTTGCAGAGAGCTGTTTTTATGTGAGTGTGGGCAAGAATGTCTATAGAACAGCTTCAGAGAAGGAGAGACGTAAGAGGATATCGGAAACCGCAAGTCCAGAAAACTCTTTTGGGTGAATTCTGTAGCAAAGGGGGAGAGAGCAAATTGAGTGGTAGCTGGAAGGGAAGATGTGAGTTCCAGAGGTTGTTCTATATTAAAACTAGTATTACAGGGGCGCCTGGGTGGCTCAGTCGTTAAGCATCTGCCTTCGGCTCAGGTCATGATCCCAGGGTCCTGGATCGAGCCCTGCATCGAGCCCCACATCGAGCCCCCACATCGAGCCCCACATCGAGCCCCGCATCAGGCTCCCTGCTCCGCGGGAAGCCTGCTTCTCCCTCTCCCACTCCCCCTGCTTGTGTTCCCTCTCTTGCTGTGTCTCTCTCTGTCAAATAAATAAATAAAATCTTAAAAAAATAAAATAAAACTAGTATTACAATCATACAGTCGATGGTGTGAGTGTCAAAGTAAGGGGTTTTTAGGGAGAAAGGAGGGACAATGATCTGAGATCAACAACGAGGAGCAGGGTCATCGAAGCAGAGCAGTGAAGGTAAGAAGTCCAGAGATGGGGGAGATGGGGCATTTGCTGCTGAAAGGCGGCAAGTTCCAGAAGACAGGAAGGTTCTAAGAGGTGGAGTCTCTGTGAAGAATTTGCATACGGTGTGAGGAAGAAGGGGGACCTGGATAATGTGGGCTTCGTGGGGACACTCCTGTGAATGAGGATGAAGGGACTGATAGGCTGTTTGGATGAGGACCAGGGCAGATGGAAGTGCTGGCACTGGGGGTATGGCGAGGGGAGGGCTGGTTGGCGCTGGAGGGATGGCCCAGGAGTGTCCTGAGCTCTGAAACCACTTCTTTCCAGTTGACAGACGTGTGCTGCCGTCATGAGTGGGACGTTGCCATCAGCACAACCAGCGCTCAAAGCTTTGGGTACCTTTGTCACCCATTCTGCAAAATGTCTTCACTCCTTTTGGTCCTTTACTTCTCCACATGTATTTTTTTTTTTTTAGATTTTTAATTTATTTTTTGACAGAGAGAGACGGCGAGAGAGGGAACACAAGCGCGGGGAGTAGGAGAGGGAGAAGCAGGCCTCCCGCTGAGCAGGGACCCGATGCGGGGCTCGATCCCAGGACCCCGGGATCATGACCTGAGCCGAAGGCAGACGCCCAACAACTGAGCCACCCAGGCGCCCCTCCACGTGTATTTTTAAAAGAACCTGTTTTAAAATGAAACAAAACAACATCCTTTTAGAATTTTGGTTAAAATGGCATTAAATTTACAGATTAGCCTGGAGAGAGTAGACATTTAAAAAAATGTCCTTTTAACCATAAATGTGGTTATTTCTCATCATTTCTATGTGTCTTCTTTTAGGTCTTTTATTAAAGTGGTATAATTTTCTCCATAGATTTCTATGCCTTTTAAAAGGTTTATTCCTAGGTACTTCTGTTATTAGAATGAATGGGGTTATTAAAAATTACATTTTTAGTTGGGTTGTTGCGGATGTCTAGGAAAGCTATTGAATTTTTATGTTGTGTATCAACAACCTAGTGAACTGTCATAAATTTTCAAAGTTTAGGATTCTCTTAATTTTTTTGTGTAGACATCCTCATTATCTGCAAATAATAATTTCATTTCTTCCTTTATAATTGTTATACCTCATAATATTTTTCTTATTTGATGATATTTGCTAGTACTGCCAATAAAAAGTTTAACCAGAGTGCCGTTCTTGCTTTGCTCTTAGAACATTAAAGGGAATGCTTCCAGGATTTCATGTGCAGGGTGATATTTGTTGTTGCAGTTGGTAGCTGCTCTGTATTACTCTAAGGAAGCACTGTGCTCTTCCTACCCAGTTCTTCATTTAGGGCAGAGGCGGATTTATTGTGCATATTAAGATAATCATAAGGGACCAGCAAAATACTTAAAGATACCTGGGTGGTTGTCTTTCCCTTTCCTCTCTGGATTTTTGTGTTCATTAAAAGTGAATTGCAGCCCACGCATCAGAATGGCTATTAATAAAAACTAGTGACATCAGCAAATGCTTGCAAGGATGCAGAAAGCTGGATCACTCCTGCGTGGTTGCTGGGAATGTAAAATGGCACAGCCACTCGGGAAGGTTTGGCAGTTTTCTTTTCTTTTCTTTTCTTTTCTATTCTTTTCTTTTCCTTTCTTTCTAAATTGAAGTAATGTTGACCCAGTGTTCCATTAGTTTTGTGTGTACAACATAGTGATTGGCCATTTCTGTATGTTATGCTGTGCTCACCACAAGTGTGGCTACCGACTGTCAGCATTCAGTGCTACGCACTCTATTCCCTATGCTGTACCTCTTGTCCCCGCGACTTATTCATTCCATAACTGGAAGCCTGTACCTCATCCATTTTGTCCATCTCCCACTCCCCTCCCCTCCCCTCTGGCAATCACCAGTTTGTTCTCTGGATTTAGGATCTGTTTCTGCTGTTTTTGTTTGTTTTGTTTTTTAGATTCCACATTTAAGTAAGATAATATGGTATTTGTCTTTGTCTGACTGCTTTCACTGAGCCAAATACCCTCTAGGTCCATCGATGTTGTAGCAAATGGCAAGATTCCATTCATTTTATGGCTGAGTATATTCCATTGTGTATATAGACCACATCTTCTTTATCCATTTCAATGATCCATGCACAATTATCAATGGACAATTAGGTTGCTTCCATGTCTTGACCATTGTAAATAATGTTGCAGTGAACCTGGGGGTGCTTATAACTTTTTGAATTAGTGTTTTTGTTTTCTTTGGGTGAATACCCAGTAGTGAAATTACTGGTTCATATATCTTTTCTATTTTTAATTTTTTGGGGAACGTTTGTACTTTTTTCCCACAGGGGCTGCCCCAATGTACATTCCCACCAGCAGTGCACTAAGGATCCCTTTTCTCCATATCCTCACCAACACTTGTTAGTTCTTGTCTTTTTTATTTGAGCCATTCTGACAGGTGTGAGGTGACATCTCATTGTGGTTTTGATTGGCATTTCCCTGTGATGAGTGATGTTGAGCACTTTTCATGTATCTGTTGGCCATCTGGATGTCTTCTTTGGAAAAATGTCTGTTCATATCTTCTGCTGATTTTTAATTGGACTTCTTTTGGTGTTGAATTGTATAAGCTCTTCATACATTTTGGGTATGGTAGTTTCTTATAAAGC